ATACACATGTGTGCAGGAGGGCTTGATTTGATCCAGGCATTGTACGTATGGTATACGATAATACTGGCTAATATGTGTTGTCCGCTAAACCGATTGCATATTGTACAAGAAATTTCGATGTATCCTATTTGAGGAACTGGGAGATGTAAACAAAAACACTAGATAACAATTGAAAATTGGGTGACAATAACATCATTCACTTCCGATCCCCGATCCGAGAATCGGGGATTTGGTATTGAAGATCAACGATCTGTGTAGGTGTAACAACAGTCTGTTTATGATCGGGTATTTGGTATTGATGGTTTCGGTGATCTGTGTAGATGTTCCCACCTCTGTCTGTCGATGATCCAGATGGGACCGGGTATTATGTATTAGTGATCGACTAACTGGTTTGCTGTTCAACACTCAGCGTCCCCCGACGGCGGCAAAATGCGAGTGTCGCCTATCATTTTGGTCGGCTGGGTGTTGGTGGCGGGCAGATTGAGCGGCAGGTTGAGGGCCTTGAGTAGGCAGCCAAAGTCGACGACACGTCCTTTGTTTTGGAATGGCAGCTTGGGGCACAGCTCGAAGGCGTAGTTGATGGGCGGCATATCGCAGCCCTTGCTGCAGGAAATATCGATGAAGTTCATCAGATCGCAAACCTCAATCTCATCGCAATCATTGCGATTGAGCACCGACAATATCGTATCGATCAGTTCCAGCGTAAACGGCATACGGAAGCCACGCAACGTCGATCGCACCAGACTCTCGGACAGGAATGGCTTATTGGTTGGATTGATGTGATGGAAATGCTCCATCAGCTCATCTCGTCCATTCCATAACGCACGCTTGATCTCCAAATGGGCCGAGGCACGAACCTTCTCCCGTTCGCAGGCGTTTGGCGCCGCCTGTTCGCCGGAAAAGCGGCGACACAGTGTGACGATCTCATGATCGCTGATTTGATTGCCCATCAGAGCAACCAGGGCACCCTTGAGACTCTCAAATGAAATGAACACTGTGCGCTTCTCCAGTTTCTTTTCCAGATCTTGACAGTCGGGCACACAGCTGGAGACAAACTGTGACATACGCGGCTCCAGGGACTTGCGCACCTTCTCCAAGATCAGGTCCAGATTGCAATGCGTAAACTGGTCCGGATGATGCTCCATATACATTAATGTGAACTCATCTGCCGAAACCAGATGGAAGAGGAAATCCTTAATGGACATTGTGCCACCTATATAGAAATTGCACGGCCTGTAATACTGGGGCTGTTTGCACGTGAACTTCTCCTGGCCGGGCATTAGGACACGGGTACGTTTCATGAAGACGCCGCCAAGGAAACCGGAATTCCGTACAGCTACCTCTTGCACTTGCATCGTATCATCGCTCATATAGTAGCTGATCACAAAGATCCGTTCGCAATTCTCTCGTATGGTCGACAGCATCTTTGCGCCGAACCGAAGTACGTAACGATCGAATTTGATGAATTTTCTGAAATCAGTCTTCGGTCTCTTAATCACAATCGACATGCAATTACCCGCCGAGTCCTCGTAAGTGCCCCAGCCATTGTAGGGTGGCAACATACGTCCGGACTTGTCGTACGGCTTGCAGACATCCGATCGCGTCGGCATTGGCAGTGGTGTAAACTGCTCAATGCCATAGTTATCCCGATAGTACTGCCTGGTAAACGGATCCATGTCCGTGATGACCACGGAGCGGCCATAAACGTTGAGCACAGTGCCGATCTGCAGATCGCGCTGATTGTAATAGAGAATCTCCTTGTTACCAATATTGAGCGGATCAATACAGTAGCGAACATTTCGATTCGATCCAAGCACATTTAGCAGGGTTTGCGGTGTCTGTTGGCCAGGCAGCTGCATGCCATCAAATTCCTGTGGAAGAACCAAATCATTGATCTCGCAAATCCATCCAATGATCTTTAAAGCTTACGCGTTGCAATTTCCCGCGCTTGAGAAATACGCTCGGGCCATCGCGTCCCGAGTTCCGTATGTGAGCCTCCTTCACCTCGATGGTATCGTCGGCCAGGTAGTAGCAGACCTCCAGCTTACGCACATCGCCCATATCAGTGCGATCGTCCCAATAGGCTTGAAATTTGAGTACCTGGCGATCATACTTGAGGAACTGAGCAAAGGGATGCTTCTTCTCCGGCGGATTGCTGGCTCGTGCCGGGACACGGTTGCGAACCGCCTCAGAAGGATCACTAGAATATTTTAAATAA